GGAATTAATCAGGCAAATTAATCGACCGAACGTCGAGCGCGAGTACTCGGTGTTTGCGAATTTGTTCCACATAGTGGAATGATTTTTCTCGGGCGATAACTCGTCGGCGAATGCAAAGGATTAGTTTCGAAATGGAAAGTAAGCGGAAAGTGAAAGAGAGTACATGTTACGGTGTACAGAGGAGGACGATTTCTCTTATACGGATGTTGTCCTTGATCTACGATAGACTGAGAATTTTTCTCGTTTTTGCAGCTCGAGATCAATTGTCGTTTAAATTTAATTCATCGAGACGAGCAATTGACATTTTTCCATAATCGTGGGCTAATATGTGTACTGGTAATACTAATTTCACAGCGAAGGAAATTTTACCAAAGTTTGGAACTTCAATTGGGAATTTTGGGAAATTCATTCGATTTGAAAAATTCACAATTGCGGAGATGTAGATTTAAAATAGATACAGAATAATAAGATACACACGACTCCGTTTACGCGAATTTTTTTGCTTCTTTTAATTCAAATTTTAGTGAATGCTCAATTAAATAAAGATTGTATCCACTTGCGGTGAATGAAAAAGTGATGTCTGTCAAATTGACAAATTCGTGCGAACTTTCGTTTTGCCTTGGAAAAGAAGATTAAAGAAAACACTTGATATTCTCTAAAGAATATTATTTCACAAATATTTTGAAACGTGCGATACTTTCGAAATGGCGAGTGATAAAACTCGTTGGATTCACGTACATTGTTATGATGTAAAACAGGATATTCCTGTTTGTTAAAGAGTGATCGTTTGCATAAGAATACTGTGAAAGTCGACAGATATCGGGAATCATAGAGTATCTCTTTTCTAGAACGAGACGAAGAAAATTACCTTAAATGGATCGATCCCATATGGAATGAAAATTAAACTTTCTAGCCTGGGATTTTGCAAAGCTACGTATTCAAGATTCTTCGCTTTCCGACGCAGTCATTAATTATGCTTACGTACCACCAAAGGAACAATGTGCGATTAATTCGCGCGTTCATTCAAATTTCCAAGATTCTGCATAATTTATACGAGAGATACATAATTTATTCATAAGCGTCAGTAAAACAATTTTCGAACCAATGAAACGTCATTAAGTATCACAATATGGTATATCTTGGAAATTATCAAAGAAAAGTGCAGTATTATAATTTTTAATTCTCTTTTAATTAAAATTTCCTGTTTAACATAATAAAAGTACATAAGACTGTACCATTATAGTGAAATGTCGTCTATTTGTTGAAATGCAGAGTTGTGAGAAGAAGTACGATTTCGAGGATTAAAAAGGAAGATTAAAAATATGTAATTCTCCAATTCACCAACTTTCTTCCTACCATCGGCGTAGAACGATCGACAATCTTTAGATGCCGATCACGTTGAACGTTTTCTTAGAAATTTATCGTCAAAGCACCGATTGCGCGTTTAAGATGAGGATTATGGTGGTAAACGGCACATTACGGCAATGTGATATTACTCTGATCGCGGTAACGGAAGACAGAGAAAGTGAGCGCGAGTTCCAGAAAGATCGAACGTTTTCAAAAGGTCATTTCACCGTTTCATCTTTTTCTCTTCCCTTTCTTTCGTGAAAATCGTAGTAGCAAGACAATATGTGCGAACGAGATTGATTGCAACTTTCTATCAGTTCGAACATTCGTTCAATCAATGAACGTAAATGACTCATTTAGAAGGAAGTAATAGATAGATTTCGAGATATATTCGATTTCCTGGTGAAATGGGTGCCTCGTAAATTAGCGTAATGTCGGTAGTAAAATTATTTAGAGTGTAGTGACTCGCTCGCTAAGTTGTTAGAACAGGCAACGCAATTGATTACAATAGAAATTATGGTAACAAGAGACATTGTAAAATGGCTAGTTAGCAAATACGATTATGTAAACTACTGTTGCAGTTCGCGAAGCTCTCTTCGTGCCCAAGAGATGAATACATCTTTCTCTCCAGGATGTCTGATATTTAATACAAATCCCAATATTTTTATTGAATTCAGTATTGTTAACAAATATCTCGTGGAAGGATATTTTAGAGTTTTACGTTTTTCTACGAAAATTATTTTTCATTGTTTCTTTTTTAACATAACCTTCTTCGGAAAATTATTTTAAATTATTCGCCAAACTTCTCTTCCTCCTCGATGAATAAAATCTCACTGATCTTTCTTTTTTCCTTTTTTTTTTCTTTCATCTCGATTACGAAATCTTAACAAAAAAAAGGAAAAAAAAATTCTACCACGCTCGCAATCCCTTTCACACGAGGGACAAGCCAGTGTCTACGACAATGATAGAAGGGGCACGTGAAATTTCATGTAATCTCAGGTGAGAGTAAACACAGGGTTGGGTGGGGTGCACGCAGGAACTATTTCGCTCATTCTTGTACCGTTCACTGATTATGCTTCCGTTTATAAGGCTTGACAGGATCCCAGGTTTTAGTCCCTGAAACGCAGTAGCCTCGGAACACGCTCGAACCTCAACGTATCCAAGGGGAAAATGGCGAAACTCCGAGCGCAAGTGGGTCTTCCCTTCGGTGACCTTGCATTACTTTTGGGAAAAATCGTGTGTTCTCTTAAAGATACTCCGTGCGAGAGTGGATTCTAAATATTCGTAGTCCTTCGAAAGTGTCTTTTTTGTTTTTTTCTTTAACTTAAAAAGAATTATTTAATGAATGAATGTTCAGTGAATATGACGAGTTTATCAATGACAGAGAAAGATAATTATTTCCTATTTTTTATATTTATATCAGTATTCGTTTATATAGGTTTAATTTCAATCTGTTTCTTTTTTTTTTTTTTTTTGATGATGTCGTTAAGAAAAATGACTTTAATGGAAATTGAAAACAATAAAAGAGATAGATTAGATATTTTCACCAGAACTCTTACTTCCATATAAAATCTATTTACATCATCATCTGTCTTTCTTTCTCTAGGTGTAATATATTGTTACATTTCTTTTCCAGGCTTTCCTTCTTGTCCTCGTCGTTTCAATCGTCCTGGTAGCTTCGATGCCTACGCCTGGTGGCGGCCATCACGAACAGTAATTATTTACCAATCGATATAAAATTATAATTACATCACATTACAATAATATTGTAACTACATCGCGCTTTACATCGCGTTCGACAACATTTTGTTTTCTGCAGCACGCATTTCATCATTCACGTGCCAGAATTGATTCACAAACACCATCACACGCATGTGAAGAAGATTCACATAAAGCATGAAGAAGAAGACGACGGTGGTCACCAGCATATAGAGGAATGGTGAAGTTTGCATCATGATTGTTATTTGTATTATAATTGTTGACTGTTGCTGCAATAAACTTGTGTTATGTTAATAAAATACTTGGCAAAACTTTTATAGAAAGTAATTGGTAGAAACTTTGTTACATCCCTTTTCCTAAAGAAACAAGATTTTAGGTATTCGAAAAAACGTGCACGATGTTTCTCAAATTACTCGTGTATTGTATAAAAAATAAGACAACATAATAGTATGTACAAGTATCTTTGATCTAAATACACGTATGTGCATGTACACCAAGTGATGTTAGTTCTATATTACAGAACTTAAGTGACTAAAGACGCAGGCAGTTCAAGTTATACTTTGTACTAGTACTCTTTTGTATCTTCTGTACTTCCAAAAAATGATTTTGATTGAGCAAAAAAGGTAGAGTTTCACGAAATTCTATCAGTAACCAGAATGCCTTTCATTTTATGATATAACCTGCAACAAATTGACAAAAAAAGTTCTTTCATTCTTCTAAATTCTACGTAGAGAATCCTCCTACTCAACTCTAATTTAATCCTAGTCTTTTCAAATTCAAAAATATTTTGTCACTTGAATCGTCCCTTCTCCCCCCCCCC